AATCTAAGCGTGGAGTGGATGCCTGGTATAGATCTGGATAACGTACACGACATGCACGTTGTTTTTGCTCTCAGCTGCACTGTGTGTGTGTTTTGATCTGGCATCCTCGGTCCCAAAGGGCAAAAGTTTGTGGTATTCTATACAGAGTAATTGCCAAATGTAGTGTAGGTAGAGAAATGCACATTCTGTTCCATAAACAATTGAACTGTTGGCTACCTTTCAATGTCACAAACGATCGTAAGTAGCATCCCTTGAAATACAAGTTTTAATCACGCTTTCCCTCCATCGAAATTTATTTCTGGAATACAACTTTTCATCAACATTTCTGTTTATTGGGTGGACACTGCGTCACAGCGCTCTGTCAGCAGTCGGGTTAGCCTTAGTTGTGGCCTGCGGGTGGCGACGCAGAACCTCTGACTGTTGCGGGGTCGCCAGGGTCAGTGGTGGGGGCGGATGGGATGGCAGATTGGGTGGCGGGGAGTCGCTGACTTTGCCATTCGGCTGCCCGCATCGAAATCATAACACCAACGAGGCGAAACTTCTGCGCCGCAGCCAACAGAAGCAGCAGCAGGAGCGGGAGCGGAAGCAGAATTCGTGGCAAATAATAAGCCAGGCAGCAGGCGACAAAACTGTGGGGCTGTGGGGCTGTGGGCCTGTGGGGCAGGAGCAGCAGAGCAGAGCGGAGGAGACGGATGGGCAGGACCGGATGGAGGTGCCATGGCCATAGGAGAACCGGATGGTTTGTGGGGGGAGCAGCCAGACGAAGACAACTGTGACACAGCGGGCAGGACATAACAGGGAAGGGGCACTGCCAGTGGCAGTAGCAGTGGCAGGGTCTATTAGATAAATACGTTGGCAGGAAAGTAGCGATGGCGCAGGAGTGGTGCTGTGCGGTGTGGCAACAAGGTTGCTGGCAACAAATTGCAGTGGATAGTGCCGTGCCGCACACATCAGAGGAAGCTTAACAAGGTGCGCAACGCGTTCCGACAACAAGTGCCCCCCAAAACTGTATGCTATGCAAACTTTCCATTTGTTATTGCCACTGCAGCTGCTCCGCTGCTGCTGCAGTGCCTCTTCCGTTAGCGAGGGAATTATTCAAATCGCAAGCAAGTCTCAGGCCAAAGCCAATCGAATTTGTTTATAGAATAATGCATCAGCAGGTGCTGTCTGGCATCGGTATAAGCCGTAACATCCATCACTTTGGGCAGGGGTGACAGGCCCGCATATCCACATGTGCATCATGTGTGGGCCGGCCGGCCTCCCACTTCAAATGCTGTCTACAGCTAATCAAATTGAAATGGCAACAGAAAGAATCGTTGCTGAATTCCTTCATCTGCTTTCTAATCCTGAAAAAGAATACGATTTAGCAGCATTAAATGAATGCCTCCCATGGCTCTCATCGATACGATGGTTTATGGGTTCGAAGAAGGGTTCATTATAACAAATTTAATACAAAGTGAAGCACTGAAAGATTGCCCTTGACCTAGAACCAAAGAAATACACGAATGATTTGTGTAACCCAAAAATCGAACAGAAGTTCCTCACTCTCTGGAGCACAGAAATAAAGTCCAGAAACGCCTCTGAGAATACTGCAAAGGGTAATGAGCAATTAGCATCCAGCTCTTGCTCGTACAGCTCCTACAGCTTCAATGATGGTCACACGAAGCCTCCTTCTGCTACATTGATGGTCCACACAGTGCCCAGCCGCGTAAGTGCGAGCCGCTTGGGTCGTTGGCTCTTTTTTTATGCGGCTTAGCCAGGTGTAATCATAGTCGAACGCACACACTCTGAAACAGAGAGCTACGCATTCACCCACAGTTGAATGTGGCATGTGGCATGTGGCAGCGGGCAGGGGGCAGGAATGGGACACATCCCATCCCCTCACTTCCTCTTGGCGCATGTTGGCAGCCAGCTGCCGTTGCCGTCAGCCAAATTACTGAACTGAACGATGACTTGAATGTGGACGGGAGTCACGGGGGAGGCGGGTGGCCTGTAGCCGGTGTGGCATGCTTCATGCGGCATGGGTTGGGGGCAGTCATGTGGTGCTGGCACACACATAAATCGTTTATAGCCACACCGAGATCGAGGCCGGGGCTGGGGCTGAGGCAGGGGCTGAAGGCAGGCCAAGCCAGGCCGCTAGCGCCATCATCGTCATGACCGTCATCGTCGTCGTCGTCCTGCTCGTTGTTGTCGGCGCTAAAAGCTCTGCCACGTCCATGACTCTGACTGGGTCTCCAGTCTCCTGCCACTGCAAATGCTACTGCCACAGCTCAGGCTTCTGTTTCTGCTTCTGCCACACATCTCTGGCCAGGGCGATGGCTATGGCTACGGTGCTGCTAAGCCCCCCCCTTCCGACGAACCCGAACACCAACACCAACAATGCTGGCAATGTTTCTGGTCGACTTGACAGGCCCCACTGGCTGCCACTCCAGAGCAGTCCACACTGTGTGCTGTGTGGCATGCCACCCCCTACCCCAAACCGAAGGGGCAGCAGTACCACTGGCAGTGGCAGTGGCAGTGGCAGTAGCCCTGTAACAGCCGGCAACTTGCAACCTTTTGGTCAGGTCTCAGGAAAGTGTGGACTGTGGCAAATACCCAGCAATCCCCACAATCGAGGGTCACACCACGCCACACCATGGCCAAAGGATGAAGCAGGCAGGAGCAGAGCCAGAGTAAGGTATAGCTAAAGCCTGCAGATCCTGGAGCGACCGGAGCGACAGGCAAAAAGGTAGACATTGGTGGCAAAACAGAAATGAAAATCAAACTGAGGGGGGCGAAAAAAAACCCCACACGCACACGGGAAAAAGGAAAATTCCCTACAGGAAAAGCTTCGGAAGTGCGCTCACTGCCGCAATGGCAACGGAAGCAGGACGGACGGACAGAACAGGACCAGAGGCAGACGCAGAGGCACGACAAGGACGAGGACCAGGGCAGAGCAGGCAGGGCAGGGCACGAAATGGACAGGCCAAGAACAAAAGGGGAGAGAGTGCGGGCACGAGAAAGGCAGTTTGTCAAGTGGCGGCAGAGAGAGAGAGGAAGTGCGATGGGTGCACAGGGAACGCGAGGGAAAAAGAAAGAAGAGAAGCGAACAGAAGTGCCGTGTGCGGTGCGGTGCGGCGTAGAGGGTGCCACACGGGTGGGGCCATGACACGACCTGCTGCTCCCGCTCCCGCTCCCTCTGCTCCTCTTGCTCCTTCTGCTTGTGCTGGTGCTGCTGCTGTCGGCTAAAGAGAGAAAAATGACTAAATCAAAAGGAAGTGCGCCACACTGTGCGGTGTAAGAGCACGTACAATACGCCCAGGATGGAGCCCGTCTGTGTGGCTGTGTGCGCCAAGTGTATTGGTGTGTGCTCGAGTGTGCATGACTGTTGGTGTGTGTGAGTGCGGGTGTGTTTGTGTGTGCTGGCGCGTGCTTCGAAGACCGACAGCCTGACGGCTACGAGCACCACACAAGGGTCACAAATGCGAAAAGAGAGAGAATACTAAGGGAGAAATAAAGTTGTAGAATAACTTTGAGAAGAGTGAACAAAACAGAAATTAGTTTTACTCATTAACTAATAACTAATAGAAGAATGAGCCATCGGGAAAGTGAATGATCAGAAGAGAGATATGAACTGTTTATAGTTGAACGGAGGATGGGAGAATGAACCAATAAAAGAAACATTCAACAGAAGAATGAAACAAGAGCAGTGCGAAGCCTTGAGAGAGTGAACCAATTAGAAGCTTGAAAAATGTTCAGAAAAATGAATGAACCAGTGGGAAAAGTCCCAATGAATCTACAGAAAAAAGAATTAATCAATGAGGAAATTAAATGAG